TTTATAGCCTATAAATATACATGGTTTGCTTTGTAATTCAAAAATAGTAAATACGTAATAAAAATTATCTACACCACTGCATTCTATGGTAAAAATCTATAAAGGTACCATTTCGGTAGGCACGACAGACGACCGCCGACGCGACATACGACCGCCGACGCGACCGAGAAGTGTCGCCTCACATCTAAAATACATACAATTATATGAAACACATTTCGCACGGCGCGACACGAGAAGTGTCGTCAAGACGACACTTCCTGTCGACACTTCTCGGTGCAAAGCTTTGCTGCGTATCGCACTCGCGGTCACTGTCCTTGGCATCGCTTCTTTTTGGGGGTGATTCGGTTGGAAATTTCTTTCGATCTAGGCAGCGTTGCCAAATTTTAAAACAGTATAGGTAAAAAAAAACCGTAGATCTGAACAGTAGATTTTAATACAGGGGGAAATAATTAAAATTTGCAGTGTAGTAAATAAAAAAACAAGTATATAAGAAACGAAAAATAAACTTTTTGTCGACCCATTAGAAGGTAAACAAAGAATAAAAACAAATAACATTTTTAATATATACTTAACCTACGGAAACAAAAGAACAATGAAAAATAATAGGTACCTACTTCTTTTAGATCAGTCTAAATCAGATAATTCAAAATCGTAGTGTGCATGTTCTTTTTATGATGCCCTATCAATTCTTTGTTTCATTTTAAATAAAAACAATGATTATCTTGATGTTTTTTTTATAGAGCCAACCTAGAGCAGTGAATGCTTATTACGCTGCTTTTACTGCAGAAAATTTACTAGAAAAAATATTATTTCACCATTTGCTGAAGAATGAGGCAAACTTAATAAATCAAGAACAAAATTTGATAGAGACAAAACCAGTAGATCTACGCGAAAACAGTAGGTCTGGCAACGCTGATTGTTCCCTCGAATGGTTATCCCTGTAAATGTCGCGCGACACTTCTCAAGCTTGCGAAATGTACGAAGCGTAACATTTTTGCATCTGTCGTCCTACTCGACCTTGGGGTCGCTTCAGTGGTCGCTTCAGTGGTCGCTTGTCTCCTGACGCGCCTACCCAAATGGTACCTTTAGAATGTTATTTTACCATTTCGATGAGTTGAAGGATAACGGAGACGCGAGGGGGTCCCTCTAACAAATATTTTAAACAAAATGGACATCTCACTAAAACTTTTATTAAACTTATATATTCTACAAAAAGACAATGTAGCTTTTCATTTGGTAGAAAAATAACTAAAATCAGCAATTCTCCAATCGAAAACTGGTCATAGTATCGGATTTAAAATTCATATACATTAAAACGGTTTTAAAATTATCATATATTGAGACAATAGTTACATTTTACTGGGGCAATTTTAGAGTACAAGGTGTTTGTGGCTTTTGTACTTTTGTTAAAATAAAATATTTTCCAACAAATAAGCCGCCTTGTATATTGTGAAGCTTGGAGGTACACATATTTTAAAGGTATTACCTTCAATATAAATATGAATCGGATTTGGAATTAGTCCTTAAAAAAATGTATAATGTGCAGTATTTTGTCGCCAAAATACCATAATGAATAGTACTTTTTGGAAATACGCTTCCCTGACGTCACAGTATATGATATTTTGCAAAAAACTACCGTTACACATTTGTGAATCACCCTGTAATTAAAAATATTTTCAATTATACGTCTTTAATACTATATTCAACGTGTGTATGCAACAGAAATTCAGTCTAGCTCGTAAGTTGGAGAAAACTTTAAGAATAAGTATCGTAGGTATATCTGGCAACACTGCTCTCGCCATTCTCATGATTCCGGCCAAATTGTGAGAGAGTACTCGCATAGTTACATATATTGCATTAAAGATATTGATTAAAAGCATAGGTACGTACATATTAATGTTTTAAATTAGCTATTCCTTTAATAATTCCTGCATTTTACAGCTGCTGTTTTATAGGTAGGTAAGAGACTTACAGAAATTTTAAAACATAACCTTACTTTATAACTTTTGTTTTTCTTATTTTGTAAGTGTTTTGTTTAGGCCATCTATTTATTCCTCTCGTATTCATGTTTCATATTTTATTTCATAAAATGTCGGAAATAGCTCTGGCTCTGGTTATAATTCCTTTTTGCAGAAAATACGCTTGGCCTGTATCGGCGGAGTAAACGTTAGGATGCTTAATAAATAAAAGCAATATTTCTGTTCGCGGTGTCTCCAATATTATACCAGACATAAAAAGTTATCCTACTAGAATTCTACCAAAAAAACCTCTATAAACATATTTATTTACATAAAGTAATAATCATTAAAACACTTAAGTCGCTTATCTTCCTAATTTTGAAGATTAAGACCGATTTTAAACAAGATTTCGATACAAAATTTAGAGATTTTCTCAAGGCACATAATAAATCTACCACCCCTTTTTATCCACCCAAATTCGTTCCCACCAGAGCTACGACAAAATGACGTCACAAAAAGCCATTGAAGCGGGTATAAAGACCCGAACCTTAGGACTCGGGAGCATTTATTATGATTTTATATAGATTCATTATAATTTTATATTCAAGAAGCAATTATTATTTTGTATAATTTAGGTTCAATATTCAATATCTTTTCTAAATAGACGATCTTCCTAACCGACGTCTATCCTACAATACTCATTATCCTCTGAACACTGTTACATCCCGAACGCTGTCTCGTCCTGCATCACCTAAGTATTTCCTACCTTATATTCATCCCGATGGTCAACGTCCTGACGCCCAACCTACCGCTGCCCTACTATCCTATCATTCTACATCACACCGCGGTCACGATCCGCACACCGCGGTCACGTTCCGTACCACATAAGTGTCTCCTACCTTATATTTGTCTGGCCGACCTATCTCTCGAACGCTGTCTCGTCCCAGGCCTTACTTCTCGATGCTTGACGTCCCTAAATACTTTCTTCATAATATCCTTGACAAATATTTCCTTCATAATACCCTTGACGATAACCTTCGTCGCGCATCACCACCAAGTATTTTCTACCGTATATCTGTCCCGACGCAGTATCCTAATAAATACCTTCCTCTCTGCCACGACGCTAGGCGTTTCAACACACGGCGATGCTCAACGCTGCGACGTACCCAAATCGACGCCATCACAACGCTAAATAAAATTAGTACATTATGTCTAGCATAGACGAACCTAATGTCTGTATTTTCAATGGTGAGTCAAAAAGATTTATGTAAATTTATTTTAAATATCACCGGGTTTTTGTTCAAATATAATAATAATAATGTAATCATGTAACAATAGTGGATAAAACAATTAAAGAATTATGAATTACTACAATAGTCTGGCCTTTTGGTTTTATCCAGTGCATTTATTAAAAAAAAAGGACCTGACATGTGCTTAATATTAATAATGTAACCAAATAAACTAAATAGCCTTTGGGCATTCACCCCGAAAGACAGTTAGGTTAGGCATCTGTTTTTGGACGGGCAAATTTGAATATTTCAATAGAAATTATAAAACTCAACATTTTAGAAATATACAGGGTTGTGTTACCTTGGATAAATTATACAAACAGAAATGGTAACATTTATAAGTAAGTTAATCAACTGGTGAATTGACATTGTTCATTAGCGTAAGGGGGGTACCTATACTAAGCCACCAATTCTACTAAGTCTGAAACATAAAGTATAGGTGAAAATCAACACGGTAAGGTAACCAACTGGTGAATTGACACTGTTCGTTACCTTTGTTGGTCATCACCTCTAAGCTGATCGAAATAATTACTTAAGAGGGTACAATCTTGGGTATATCTAGGATAGAATCAAGCTAAATAAAAATATAAAGATCAACACAGTAAGTTAACCAACAGGCGAATTGACGCTGTTTGTTAACTCCATTGGTCATTAAGCTAAATAAAATATATCTTATATTATATAGCAAATGAACGTGGTCCGCGTTTGAGCCGGACTCAGCTGACATCTCAGTAAATAGTACCGATTGTAATATACTTTGCTAATTATTGCAATACATTTAAAGTATAAAAAATAAAAGAGTTCATAGTTTTGTTTTTATTTTTATTTTATTTACCAATTTGCACGAAACGTTGCATCGAATCCTGGTTTATCTTAATTACCTAACATTATCACAACGTGGGTATAAACATTATCAATTAATTAACTAGGTCACTACACTATTAGAGGAAAAAGGCCAAATACAGTAAGTATAGAATTTAAGGTAAAACAAAATTGAGAGGTAAATATAAGATTTTCGACGTTAAAACAAAAATTAAAAAGGTGTAGGGGATGAGCAGTTACAATATCGGTCGATTTGGAGTGATAATTAAAGAATGTAATGTATAATCCAAATAAATTTTTGGACAGTGCCGTAAAACTTATAGGAGATGAAGTGCTTATCTATGCTGTACCTACGCTACTGTAAAAGTTAATTTAACTGATTGTTATCACATCAAAAATGTTTATCGAATTTAGTAAAATTATACTGAAAAAGAAAAAATAGCCATTAATAATTTTCGAATATTCAACTTGTATTTCGGAAACCAGTAATATTTTATCAAAGCATGTTTTATTCAATCGTCTTATTTTTAATCAGATAACCCTCAGTTGTTCTGTGTTCCATTCTTAATGAGACACTTTATATAATTTGAAGGATTATAAAGGAGCATATATTTTTGGTACATCCATAATAAAAATAGTTACAAGTTACATAGGTTACTTTTGAAATATTTTAATTTATTATTTTGATAGAATATTTGATTCACTACGAAAAATCAACCTAAGAATGATAGTATGTAATAACGTTCCCCAATTTATTGACTCATACACCAAAAGTTTATGATTTCAAGTTAAATTTGACCAGAAACAAGCACCTCCAAAATTTTCGGGCGGACACCCTGTATCACATTCTGTTTTACAGTAAATTATATCAATGACATAAATACAATTAGCTATTAAAAACTAAAATAGTGTTTTGCTAAAAAATACAATCTAAATCATATAGTAATTATATTTTCCAAATGAGAGTAATTACATTTTTTAAATCATCAACTACCTATAATTTTTATATCTTCGAACTTTGAAGCTTAAAATAATTGAACCATTCATTTGAAGATGGCATCACCAATTTCCTTTATATGGTCTAAAATGAAATCTACATCTTTTTTCGTCAAAGCAGAATTCTGCGACACAAATCTGAAGAAGTTAGGAAGTCCTTTCAGCGGTTGGTAACCCAGCATTACAGATCCATATTGGATCATCAGCGCTCGTATCTGTGGCGCCACCTACAATTAATTACAAGAACTAATACATTATCGATTACAGAAAACAAGAATGAAGGTAGACATTATTTTAAGATTAACTGGTAGATGTCCATAGTATACTCAAATTTGGTATTTTAGTTTAATTTCGTATCTTATAAATGAGAAGTGTACAAGGTGTACGGAAAGGTAGGTGATACATTCTGTGACTTGGTCGAAAAAGGGCATATTTGACAAAATTAAGTATTGAGATAATCAAGAATTTTAAACGAAATTTAAAATGTTTATTTAAATGTTCCTTTTTCGAGTTTGATAAAATTTTGGACCTACCAAAGAGCATATGGGTGAATGGCGGCCACTTAAGCAGTTTTATTAATTTTACAGAATAAACAGATTAGTAAAATACAAGTAAGTCAACATGTTTCGTACCAGAAAAAATTTATTTGTGTTAAAAAAAGTTAATATTTTATTAAAAATTCTAAGCAAAAAAATGTAGCATTAGCCGAAATTAGCCGCAGATAGGAGGTAATTCCAGACGTATGCCAGCATTACCCCCTATTCACAAATATAGTCTTTTTCCTGTGTTTGCGCCAGCTTTGTGAGCCCATTGACCAGTGCACCTGATACAAATTTCATTCTTCCCAAATTTACCGCAGACAAGATACAGTTCTTCGGTTACACCAACATTACTCCCATCGGTACCGGATTCATCTAAAGATTCGCTGTAAAATATTTTTTTTTATATTGGTAAGAGATTTATATTTTCTATTGATATTTGAAAGGTGAATGCCGACCTCAGACATCTTAATATCATTGGAATTGGAAACATTACTTTTCGTAGGACCATGAATATCTAAAACTTATTTTTGGTTTTTTAAATCTCCATTGCTTTGCTTTTCTCGTTTTTTATTTTCTTTTTGTTCAAGTTATTCTTTAAACGGGGATGAGGTAAAAATTTCAGCATGTTGTTTTCTGTTATTAGCTCTCTCGACGACGGGTTGCTACAACTAGGCATATTTAAAATATCACGAAGAAACACCTCGTTTTTTTTCAAAGAGACTACTTTGTTCTGCCCTTCCTACAGCAGAATTTTCGTGGATGTTTTATTTTTGTTGAGGTATCGTTTTCTGAAGGCTCCTAATATTTTCTGCGGCGAGGAAATCATCTTCCGGGAAAACGTCTGGGTTTATAGGATAAATGCCTGTAGTTTTAAAGCCTTTGATAGCTTTTTGTAGGGTGGCGATTCTACCATAAGCCTTGTTAAAGATTTTTGCTATTTCTTTTTCTTCACCAGGGTGATTCTTTTGGTATGTGGCGGTGTGCCGTCTCAAGAGCCCACTGTCTGTGAAAGACTCTATAAAATGCGCTGGTTGAAAAGGAAGTTAAAATACTGGGTGCAAATAAACAATTTTTATTATTAAAAAATCAATGTCAATAATTCCTTCGTTCTGACAAGTTGTCAAAATCTAACTAAACTCATACAAGCATAATACAGGGTATAGACTAAATACTTAACATTATAAATAAAATAAATAATTAAATCAACATTCTCCCCTCCCAAAATGAAGCTTGCTTTAAATGGCTTCATTTTCATTGAAATGAAGGACACACAACTTTGAAATAGGTCGTCTAAAGGTACCATGAATTGTTTTGATGTCAGCAACACGTATTCGTCCATCCCTGCCTGGATATACAGCTGTCACTCTACCTTTTGGCCGAACATTCCTTGGATTATTGTCATCAACAAGGATGACGATATCACCGATCTTAACAGCTTTCTGTTTGTCGTTCCATTTGGATCTAATATGTAGAGTAGGCAAATATTCTTTAACCCAAAGATTTTGTTGATTTAGTCACTTCCATAATTTTTTCAATTACATCTCGAAGGACCATGTGGCGGTCTGCCGTCTCAAGAGCCCACTGTCTGTGAAAGACTATAAAATACGCTGGTTGAAAAGGAAGTTAAAATAATAGGTGCAAATGAACAATTTTTTGTTATTGTTTATTTATTATGTAGGTAGTAATTTTTTCTTGCTAAGTGTACTCGAAATTTCGGAATTTTCACAATAAATATACCCATTTAACACCTGTTTTCTTCTATTCTTGCAGACCTAATGATAGTCTACGGTCGAAAGCGGTTGTCAAATAACTTTTAATAAAGTGTATGTATTATTTGGGTTTGATTTTAAATAATTTATCTTTAAAATTACACATTTGAGCCGTTAGATATCTGCCCTCCTTTAGATACAATACATAATAGGTATTTTTCTGATGGTACCTATATACAGATGACGCAATAATTGACAAATAGAAGTAGAGCTTTAGAATGCTTTGGTGGAGCATATAATAGTAATGAGAATAATCTGACTTTTGTAGATTTCATATCAATATCAGATTGTTTTTTAATCTGTAGCTAGTCATAGATAAACTGTATTAACATAATATACAACTCTAATGTCTATTCGCACTCCTATAAAGCTTATCAATCTCATCTGGGGCTCGGTTCGTATTTTATAACTTGTTTCTGTATCAATGGGTCATTCAGAATCATTACAAAATACACCTACTATTTTTACATTGTTTAAATGTAAGAGCTCAGAGCTCAGATCATGCCTTAAAACTTCAAGATGGATCACGATACCTTTTCTAACTAACTAAGAACAACTTCCGAGATCGATCCACTTATTATGATGTATGGAAAAAGTATTACTTAGTCTGAGGGATCACGTTCTGAAGTCCAATGTACAGAAAATAGCCATGCCAAAAATAAAGAGCAACTAACTGAATTAGAAATTAGAAATATGGTAGAAGATACGGAGGTCCAAATACAGCTCGGCAGACATTCGCCCAGTGTTCAGGTTTCAGCAAAAACCATAGTTCCCATTTAACCCGAACTATGCGGGTGAAATGGGAAATTAACACCATTTTTTCTGATCAAAATACCACCATTATTTTTTAATTCCCAATTATTAGCTCAAATAATAACTGTCTAAACTTGTATTTGGTCAATATGTCAAAATATGAACCTTTCCCTAAATTGATATAATTTATGACCTACCTTTTTGTTACACCTTGTATATGTTGATTTTAATTAATAGATAAAACGATTGGTTAGAGGGTAAATTTCGGAAACAATTGTTTATTTCTTTAGATATTTACATTTCACGGTCGATGTTGAATAATCTATAAAAGATCAGTAAACAAAAATTTGAAAAATTGCATATTTCATATTAAGGGAGTCATATCAGAAGAGCGTATAAACCAACAGGTAACTTTTTTAGGTTACGCCTTTCTTATATTATAATTTATGCAAAATTGGTTTATACGCCAATGTAAAACTACTTAGCATAGGATATTAATATTTATGAAACCATACGCCTTCTGATATATCAAGGAAATTGATTAAATAAACCCATAGGCTCGAAAATCCTAAAAACGTCAATGCTGGGGCTCTCACGCCCTTCTGAAATGTCGCCACCGATATTATATTGTCAATTCTGTAGATTATAGGTTGATTTCTCAGAATCCGTGTCTTACATGAGTATATGGTGAGGGCCCTGAGTCCTAAATCAATTAGCTTATGGAATAGATACCGTACATTTGATCAATATAGGGCTTCACAAAAGAAATTATATAAAAGGTTACTTTTTTCCATTATACTCATTGTGCGATAATATTTTCTGAAGTTACATGAATGGTAAATGATCCCTGGGGGAAGCTTCAAATGGTTCTGACAGTCAATTTCTTCTAATCTGCGTATTTGCCGTAGAATTAAAACTAGAAAAAAAGGAAACTCTTAAAACCGTTTGAATGAGAAAATAAAATAGCGGCACGTAGAAGAGATGCACCGAGAAATCAAGTCAGGTCCGGAATCTGAAATTGTGCTATTTTTTTTAAAGTAGTTTATAAAATATTCTAAATAGACAAAATAAAAAAAAACAAAAATAAATTATAGTAATGTTACTCGTCAAAAGCAAAATCCATTGGATATGAGTTATGATACTAAACTCAAAGTAATTTTTTTTTATTAATGGGATGGCATCAGACATGCAAGTCTCTATTTACCACAGAAAGTTTTAACTTAATAATTTTCATATATATTATGTTAAATATCTATTTTAGTATTTTGAGTAAATTTAATAATAGCGTCAAAAAGTATCTTATCTGATTGAACTAAAAATGAAGAAATATTGAGTGAAAGCTTTTATATTGCAATATGGACAAAAGGGAGAATCCAATATTCCAATTTTACATAAATGTGCAGGAAATCGGCCGTGATTGAGCTTCAAACGAGTAATTATAGATAATTAATATTAATTATAGTTCCATGAACTGATATAAGGATTATTCTTAGGAAGATTTGGATGTATACTATAATAGTGATTTTGTGATGCCTTTGCATGCTCAGTGTATTTAATTTCCCATTTATTTCTTACATCTTTTTTATAAATGTTAATATCTATAAAACTACAAAATAATGTAATTTGTTCTAAACTACATGCTTCTTTAGCAGCCCTATCCACATGTTCACTTCCTGCAATGCCACAATGTCCTTTAACCCAAACCAAGATAACTTTAACGCTACATTGTTTAAGGTCAAATATAATTTTCTTAATGGATAATATTACCGCGTTTTTGTTTTGACTTATGGAAGGGCTATCAACAGCATGCAGAACTGATTGGGAGTCAGACACTATAACTATATTCTGAAATAAATTTGCTTTGCACCAATATAAGGCTTTTAGAATCGCCACTGCTTCAGCTGTGAATATAGAACAGAAGCAGGGTAATTTAAATATTCTATATAATTAGTGTCTTAAACAAGAAACGCACAGCCCGTACCTAAACCATTTTTTGATCCATCTGTATAAATAGTAGTTAAATTATCTACCAAATTACTGAGTATGGATTTAAAGGCTTGCAATATCTGAGTATTTCGAAATAATAATGATTGGTTTAGATATCAGAATTTCAAATTCAATTTTATATATGGGTAATTTCTGAAATTTTTCAATTTGGTTATTATGTGGACTAGAGGGGGAGATTTTTTTTTTTCCCAGTATAAATTCGTTAAGTTCTCTACAGCTAAAGTTGAAATTTTGGTAATCATAAAATTACTAAAAGACCTATACTTAGTAACTTGTTTATTTGCTAAAAATTCTGTTCGAATGCACAGAGGCGGATCCTGTGCCTTAGCAAGAATTGCATGATTAGGTGACGATACCATAGCCCCTAAACATATTTTTAAGGCTTTAAATTGAATACGATCTACAGATAACAAATTTTAATTACACGTAGATCCATAAAGGGTACATCCATATTCCAGTATAGAACGAATATAAGATTTATAAAATGTGATGGCGATGTTTGGGTCTGCACCCCATTTATTTTTAGATACTACACATCGGAGATTAACTCCCTTATCACACTTTTGTCTTATGTATTTTATATGATTGGTCCATAGTAATTTTTTATCTATAAGTAAACCAAGGTATTTGTATTCACTAACTATGGGTATAGTCAAGTCACATAATGAGCAGAATTCAGCAGTTCCGAGACTCTGTCGCGTAAGGCACATGATAGCTGATTTCTCCTGTGAAATACTAAAACCCATGTCACTAATCAAGTCTTTCAAACAATAAAATATATATTTTAAGTCTATCATATGAATGAATGAATTTTGGATGGTATACAAGCATATGTCATCTGCATATTGGATGATTTTATTGGTATCATCCATCAAATCATGCAGTTTTGCTGTATATATATTAAAAAGTAGTGGGCCTAAAACAGCTCCTTGTGGTAGACCATTATATACGTTTCTCAAGCCATGTAGTACATTTTTATGATTATGGACAAATATCTTTCTGTTTATAAATAAGTTGATTATGTTTGCATATACCTTATTATTGATGCCAATTTTATTCATCTTAGATTGTAAAATACCTATATCAACCACGTCATAGGAGCCTGTTAAATCTATGAATAAACATAACATATACTTATTTTTGAAGAAACAAATTTGTGCGTCAGTATTTAAATGTGTTAGGGCATCAATTGTGCCTTGACCTCTACGAAATCCGTACTGAGTGCTAGACAAGAGAGACCTACTTTCAACAAAATCTTCTAGTCTAAATTTTATCATCCTCTCGAAGGTTTTGGAAACACATGACATTAATGAGATAGGTCGATAGGATGACGGGACATCTATGGTTTTATTTGGTTTAAGTACAAGACAAATGATTATATTTTTGAATATATCAGAATATTCTTGCTTTAACCACCAATTATTAAAAAACTGTAAAAATAATTTTTTTTCCTACTTCAGGAAGATTGTACAAAATTTAATATGTGAATTCATCCAGTCCTGGGGTAGAATTTCTTTTTTGTAAAGCAAAATTTAGTTCTTCATGGGTAAATGGAATAATAACGGATTTCAATTGGAAATAAATTAAAAAAGGTTATTATAACAACTAAAAAGGTTACCAGAAACAGATGGGGGAGCTAGTTTATCCAGAATATTTTCAATTAGTTGTTTGCTCAAAGGGGCCTTTTTTTCTGGTGATATTTATTAGTGATAGATCTAATAAGATGCCAGATTTCAGATATAGGAGTACTCTATTGTTATTGTTTGGTGTTTCGGCCTCCATCTCTCTCAGAGCCTCTTGGAGAAGATGGGCATAGATTGCCCTGTCCGTCTTCCTACGCGAAGTATAAATTTAATATACCTTGAGAAAGCGAATCGCTTAGCTTCAATCGCCAATTAAAATAACAATTATCTGTCTTTTCCCAGACTACTATGTTAATTATAAATAATAAAATGTAAATATTTGTAACAAAATAGTCGTATTAATAAACGTAATAAATGTAATTAATATCGTTTAAGTTAGATTTAAGTAATGTATTGATTGCGAAATGTGTGAAGCCAATTTCAATTTGCAAACAGATATTGTAGAACCTCATCATAGTTTTGCTCATTTGGGGCCAAGAAACATTTTAAATAATCATTCTTTTATCTCAAGATTTTAATTTTTTTGTCATGTTTATAAATCTAAAAATAATGTGCTCTTGATTGAAATCGCAAATATAATTTGAACTTTTTGCGTTTCTTGTGATTAAGAAATTATTATATTACAATACTAAGTTGGCTTTGACAAAACAACAAAATTTGCCAGAAGTATACTGGAAGTAATCAAACAATTAAAGCGCCAACTGCGCAAACTTCAGAAAGCTCTACCCTTAAGCAACATTTTTCGTATTGAACTAATTTAGGTTAAATCTAGTGTTTCCGTTTGTCAGACGAGTTCTGAGATACACTATGCAAAGGTTTATTTAGAATATTAGTTTTAATTAGTGACTATCAATTTTAAATTTTAATTTTGTTTTAATATTTTTGAGATGTCACAGAGAACCTCAATTACCTCCGAATTTTGATAATTATTATGTTTCAGAACTATGTGTGCTTTAACTCATACAATAATGTACTTTCTCAGAAGAAAAAATAAATTAGTATCCTAATAAAAATTGGAATTGGAAGAACTTTTGAATTGAAATCGCATTTTATGTTCATTTTACTGTTATATAAGTTATTGTTCACTTCGAACATCTAACTCTAAATAACATAAACTAGTTCCTTTAGAAAATAAAGAAATAGATCCACACAAACCTCAAATTTAATTTAGTTTAAATTCAATAAGTTAGATAGAAATCCGGAATAACTCACAATAAAACCGTTTTATAGAAATCCGATACCTCCACAGCATGCAATATATATAGAAAACGAGCGATCGTCCATTCAACCCCAAGGAAATGCTAGTTCAGGAACTGGATATTTACCTTGTGTAGTTGAGAGCTGTTTTCCAAAATATTCGTTTTAGCTCTCAAGTATCTCGGCAAATACCAAAAGCAAACGTTCATGTACTGCCTCTTTGAGACTAACTGGAACTCGGGCCGGGTATTCACCTGCTCCTCGAAATATTCCGCTAAATCCATTAAAGTGTCGATGTGATTCGCAAATCCAGATGAACCCTAAAAAATATATATATCGTTTTGTATTTTTGAAAGTAAACAAAATATTTAACAACTCGTTTTCATTTTGTAAAAAAAAATGAAACGCAAATAAGACGGAGTAGATTAATGTTTTGGAAGTCCTTAGCAAAAATAACGTTTGGTTTATGAAAGCTAATATCAACAAAGAAAAGACGATGAAGAAAACTTAATGAAAAACATATTTAGATAGAACATGAATAATTCACCACTATAAAATAGATTTTAGTTTTTTGTAGATATTATAATAATATTAGTAATTTTCGGGACGGTGGTGTAGCGGTCTATCGCGCTTATATTCATTTATAGGCAAGTTTATGAGTCTGAGACTGCTGGGTTTCGAATCCCAGACTAGACCGTGTGGATTTTTAATTAAATTGCATGGTTCGGTTTAGGATTTGATGTGTGGCGTATTAATAGAAATTCAATTTCTGTTGATATGACATGCAGATTAAAAAAATTCGCCATACATTACCGTCTCGATGATGGTGGGTGAGGTTTTCCGGGTTTTCCTCACCTGTAAGTCAAATGGCACCATCAATCATCTTTAAGTCGCCCCGGAGCGCCACGGCAAATAATAATAATAGCCGTGCCTTCCCCTACACAAGTCGTTCAGTCGACTTCAGGGGTTGAAATTCAATCGTAAGGGGGTGAATTAGGGAGAGTATTATTATTATATATGAATAAGTATTAACATGATTTTACGGTAACAAAACTTAATACTTTCCCATACAAGATTCATATGAAGTTAACGAATTATTATTTTAGTCCAGTAACTGAAGGGACCAACCTGTCATTAAGTCGGTCCAGATTTCCGTTGTGGCTCAACTCTTAGGCCTCGGCAGTCGCTTCCAAGGTCGAAAACTTTTACCAACTCTGCTGCATCGGAAAGGGCCCAAAGTGGACCCTAAAACTGGCTTCCCGCCAATATATTCCACAGTATGCAAATTATAGAATTTTTGTTTAGATAAGAAAGAAAGATCTTATTATTATCTACAAAAATGGTTTCAAGATAACCACAATCAAAAGTCCCTCGTTCAGCCCCTGCTTTATGTCTATAGCAATGCTGATTAGCTTGTAAACTGGTGGACAAATTGTTTCACAACTCGGTCAGAAATTGATATTATTCGATGATTCAAAGTTCATTGATGATATTCCATCATAACCTAACCACGTGTATCCACGCGTCACGCGCTCACCTTAATCGTCTGCTTTTGTTGGTATACAATCTCTGTTGTTTTTGGAGTCGTTATTGTCGGTTGTTATATAATTCTTTCATATATTTAAAGAAAATTCACAATTCTGGGTTCGAATAGTACAATAATAAACAATGATTCCTTTTCTTTTCTATATTTAACACAAATGAGTTAAAGTGGAATATATATCGAAGATTTGGGGTTGAGGTAAGTCTTTTATTGCTATATCTATCATATAATTATTTCTACAAATGTTATTCTTTTTTTTTTAGGTTAAAACAAACATAAAATAGAAAGCCCTTTAGATACAGAGCTTTTAGCGGCAGTTCTAGAAGATTTTGCTTTACAAAGTGAGTGTAAATTACCAGAAAAATTTATCAAATTAAGTGTAAAAGGGATCCAGCCCCCCCGGAACTCTTGAATATGATTTTTTGCCAGTGCAAGAAGAATTATTCATGTTTGAAAGCCGGACTGAAATGCTCGCCTGTCCGTGGTTCATGTAAGTCGACACAGTGTTTCAATTATAACAAAAATGAAGGTATTTTCCCGAAAGAATTAGGGATGGATCCAGACCCAGAAGGGGTTGAAGGGGAGGAGGATGAAATAGCTGTCGAGACAGCGACACAGAGGTTGGAAAAACAGGGGGAAGGGACGCGTGGAGAAGGGAAAGGAATAGAGCAAGAGCAAGACGATGAAGAGTATGATTCTGATGACATTGAATGGTTTAACGTATGATAAATTATAAGCATTGCTATGTATTTCATATTTTCAACATGTTTTTCATAATAAAAGAAATTTTTCAGAATCTTTCTTATTTTTCTGAAACCCTGGACCTATATTGTTCCGATAGAAGTTGGCGAAAATTTTGCAAAAGACGCAGAAAATATAAAGGGTCTTCTCGGGTCAATATTCATCACACTCTAAAACTAATAACCCACTATTAGGCAAAGCGCCGGGATTTGAGACTGCCACATGAAAAAAAATTTTTTTTGCACTTTTCTATTAAATTTTGCAACGCAAATTACACAGAACATTCGGCAATATAGATGAGACCCCCAAGCGCTACTTTACAGAAAAAATCCCGTGAAATCCTCCAACAATTGTCGAAAGATCGATTGGTGACCGGATTTCTATTCATATGCCCCATAATTTAGTCTCCAAAGTCCAAAACATGAAAATCAATGTATTCCCAACTCCCTCGAGCGGAAATTCAATGAGAAACTAACATTTCTATTCAGTGCAAAAATTCGGGCTTTTTCGAAGGTTGTTTTTGCAAAAAATATTCGTCTTGCGAAAAAAATGGTGGAGACCATTTTTTTAGGTAATGACACAATCTTCATTTTTTGTCTAAACAAAAATTGTCTAATTTGTATATTTTGGCAGATATTAGCGGGAAACCATTTTTTCGGACTTTAGGGGCCATTTTGAGCCCTTTCTGACCCAGCAGTGTTGGTAAAAGTTTTCGCCCTTGAAAGCAACCGTCAAGACCTAAGAATTGAGCCACAAAGGAAATCTGGACCGACTTAATGACAGCTTTGCATATTTTCAGGTCTTCAGTTACTGAACTATTTATAAATAAAAATAATACAAATTTTACCTTAATGAACAAAAATATAAGAAGTAGGTATAAGTCATATTTTTTTGAAACAAATTAAAACCAGCACTAACTGCATCGTCTTGACATCTCAATATTTAATTTACTGGGTTACAAAACACTCTAAGTTCAAGGTAACTATAATCAATGTGATGGGCGTAATTCCATTTTATAAATCAGAGCTATACGGTGAATATGAAGTCATAAATTTTAATAATGGTAAAATAAAAGGCACTTTGCAGATCTGTCTCTGATACCGATATCAACGGTTTTATAAACAATTTGACAAATAGATAAGATTGGAGATTCCCTCTACTGACCCTTAGGGTCGAAATCGGTTTCCCAGGGGTGCACATAAACGAAAACTGATTTTGGGAGTCAACGAGGTCTAAAAGTTGACCCCTTTTAATTAGCACAAGTTCTTATTTGAAACATTCAAGATACTGTATAGGTTGTGTTACGTGTAGCAACTTGTTATAAGATGAACTAATAATATTTGAGTAGGACGTATCATTGTTGTACTTTGTGTGCACAAGTTCGTACAAGATAAACAACTAAGCAAGTCAATAAATGTTAGTTTCAAATATTCCGAATGGCTATGGTTTCATAGATTTTTTTAATTTTGTCAATTTTGATGAAAATGATTTTTTCTGAAATATTATTTTTTACATTCTCCATCTTCATTTATTATCAACATTTGTGACGACCGTGACAGGACCTATGATGAAGAACTTGAAAGTAGAAAGAGACTAGTTAAGATAAGCCTTCAAGGAATCAATTTCAGAAATCGAATCCGCATAGAAAGATGATGGCATTGATGATTTTCACGTGCGCGTTCTAATAAGCACACTACAGAACCAAGGAGAAAGGTTATGCAATTTAGACACGAACATTAAAGATGCTATGTACGCCTATGAAAAGATAACCACTAAAGAAATAAAGCACGAATTAAAAGAAGCTGAAGAATACAGGTCTAAACATATTCAATATAGGATAAAATGTCAACTTGCCTTGGAGAAGAAGAAAGAAGATGTTTAGAGTTTTAGTTTAGAGATGAGAAAACAAAAACGATTCAACCTACCCAAAATAGAATTGAACAAATGTACTGGTGATGTAAAAAAACTGGATTGGTTTTCGGGCATAGTTCATAAAAATTCATGAAGACTGCGATATTGACATTGCTTTAGACTATTTTGTTAAAAATAATAAACCCGAATAAAAATTCTGTTAAAGTTGTACGTGCATTATTAGATACAGAGTCTCACAAATCATACATATTAAGTAATTGTACAAAGGAACTAGGATACGGTACAGAATATGTTATTCAAGGTGTGTTTGTCGCACTTCAAATGTCCCCAAAACTGCACAATAAGTATGAAATTGTTGTCCAAAACTTACAAAATAATTCTGAATTCAAGTAAGATATTCTAGATCAACACAAAATATGCAATTTTATTCCTTAATTAACAGATATATCACTAATTAATGAACTTAAAAGGAAAAATACAATTTTAACTGATTCAGGCCTTTCATCCGCATCACCAGAAGTAGAGTTCTTATTAGGTGCTGATGTATTTAGTCATTTATTAACTGGAAATATTAATAATTTACAAAATGGATAGGTGGCTATAGAAACTTGTTTGGGATGGACCATTGTGGGCCAATACAAGAACATTTTATGTAAAATCATATTTTGTGATCTTTCTCATCTTTCTATTACATATCTGTGGAATTTAAAAGTTATAGGTATAACAGATCCAGCAGAGATTAAAGCAAAGCAGAAGATGGAGGAAGAAACATTAAATTTCTTCCATGAAACGATTAAAGTTAATCCCGAAGGTACATATGAAATTAAACTTCCTTGGAGGGAAGATTGCTCAGGTGTGTTAAGCAACGAACAAATAGCATTGTCGCAGCTTTCCTCAACAAGTAAAAGACAAGTCAGCCTCAAGAAGCTGTCAGATTATCAAAACGTATTTTTTAGAATGGGAGAAACTATTAATCATGGAAGTAAGTGAAGATACTACAGGTAACCAATCTATAACCAATCTATAAGTAGAATGATTAAGATTCAGATAAATAATTTTTTTTAGCCGTGGGTTTTAAATTTTACTGGAAATCGGAATGGCACGAATACGGAAAGAAGATTGGACAAATGCCGTAACCCACGTCATCAAGGAAGAAAACAAAAT